ATTAAACGAATCGTTCTTTTAATTATTCCATCGGTATGAAAATTTTTAGAAATGTGCAAGTAATCACCGACGTGATTCTCAAACGTGCAGTTTCCTTTATTTTCTGACTCGGAGGAAGGAAAAAAAATGTAGCAACAAACAGATGCAATTAAGACAACGACGGATTCTTGGTTAAATCAAGTTTTCTTACGACCACGTTGAATCTCTGCGCAAATGTTGCGAGGGTGAGATGAGAGAGAGAGACAGAGAGAGAAAGGGAGAAAACTAACTTCAACTAACTCGACGCGGTCGTCGACCAAAAAGACGAGGACGTCGACGTAAACGTCAATGTTCCTTTCTCACACGGTCATAACATTTCATTGGAATGATGCGTTCTAGTTTCAGAAACAAGGTACACCGTCATAGTTCGTTCTACTTCGAAGACTCTTTTGGGTCAGCCACAAGAAAAGATGTTTGCAATGTGGAACGAGAACGAATGAATGTACGTAAGTTTAAAGTATTTTGAGTAAGCACGGTCATAACGAACGAACGAACGAACTAACGTCGTTCTATGTCTCGTTGAAAAGCCAAAGGATTAATTTAATGTTCCGTTTGAACAAATATATCTACATGAAATGATAAAGAAATTGTTATATGAAGAAGAATCTACACTTAGGAATAATAATTTGATTTGCGAGTAATAATAACGTGCAAATCATTGTAATCATAAAAGAAAATGATTTATAACGTTATTCTTACACAAATAATAAGAGGAATGAAGAAACGTTAAATCACGAGAACGTGTTTTTGCGAAATTCATTCTCATCAAAAAAAAAAAAGAAAAGAGAGAAAAAAGGTTAATAATACCAACATAACGTAATATGTCCCTTGCCCCAGAAAAAGTTAACCGTGGAATAACTAACCTTCTCACGAAGATGCCGCATTTCCAATTTGCATAGGTTCCGATATCATGGTGTAGTGTAGCGAAGAAGAGGTGAAACGGCAGGGAATCAACGACTAATCATTCCAGTCCACTACCGACCGACCGATTTAACCGGATTCGGTAATACGTTACACCACAGGTCGCGTCAGTCGATGCTCATGTTCGTATTATATTCATAGATCTATATAAGTATGTATGTAAATATGTACGTGTAGAAATACATTAAATAAACTCGAACGAATGCATACATATATAGATTTAACGTTGCGACAGCTGGACACCTGCCTCGTACTCGAGAAGGCGTTTCAACCTACTCTAGCTAGTCTAGTCTCATCCCACCATGGTGTCTTTTTCTTTCTTTATTTTTTTCTTTCTTTCTTTCTCCCTCCCTCTCTCCCTACCTACCTCCCTACCTCTCTCTCTCTCTCTCTTTTTCTTACTCCTTTCTTGCCCCTTCGCTACCTTATTCAACTTCACCTTATGTCACGCTATACTACACGCTATACTACGCGCGAGTGCACGAAAGTAAAGGACAACTTTCTCCCGGCTCGGTAGATTCGTTTTACTCCTACCTCGTCCTACGATCGATCGACTCGAGAAAGAAAAAGCAAGCATTCGCAATATACTTATATACTTAAACAACGAAATACTTTTCGATTTCCCATCGAAAAGAAAAGCTTAACTTCGACATTTCATTTTTTTTTAAGATAAATCATATATACCTTTTACTTTTTACTCTAATCGAATTTAAAACTCGACGTTTCGATTTCGTTCGTTCGTTCGTTGCGATACAACTTGGCAGTTTAATTGTTCGATTGTTCTGATCTTTATTTACATCAACGTAAGTTCCTTGGTTCGTTCAATCGACACCATATTGTACATGGTGTTAATGGAACGAGTGGAATATCCATTTGTATTATTGATAAGATAAAAACCGATTGATACGCTTGAACGGAGCTGCCCAGTTTTCTCACTTCGAGAATATTTCTCTACATAAGTTAATTATAAAGTCGATTCGATAGAGATACCTTCAAGGACATATCCATTTATGTGATTATTTTATAATTATACATTTAGAAATAAATGGCGATAAAGTAATCTTTATATCTACATAATATATAATATTTATTCACATACATCTAGATAAGTGAATAAATATAATCGCGATATGAAAGAACATCAAATTAATGTGTAATACTATTTCTTAGAATCTGTAAACAAAGAAATGAAACTTCCAATAAAGAAATCTTTTGTAATTAACAGTAAGTATGATCATAATGATGAGGACAACGTAAACGACTCGATTCATATCAAAGTCCAATGATCCACATATAAGCCGGTTGTTACGAAAGTAGTTTAATATAAGCCATTCTAGATACTAAAAAGCGCGTTTTATTACATGGTATTTATATAAAGAAATATTTTAATTAGGTAAAAAAAGGATTATGTTTTACGTGAATAAATGTGTACCTAATATTATTTCTTTTATTAAAAAAAAAAAAAAGTATATAAATAATTCAAAATTAAATGTCAAAATATTTTGGAGAACGAAAAATATACGAATTAAAATTATTCAATTACGTCAAAGAATTATTATTTTTTGTTCTTGATAATAAATATATCCGGCTTATTTTTTTATTCATAACTCGTTATAAAAAAAAACAGAAAAAGGGACAAATAATTAGTAATTAATTCAAACCGCAAAATATCTTAGAACAAGATATGTACGAGTTAGATCATTTTCATAATCACCGGTTCATATGTCGTACTAGTTATGAATCAAATCCGTAATTCATTCGGTCGATCGATCATCAACGAACTCATGTATCCCTCCTGTTCCTTCACCTCTTCTTCCTGGTTGGAGAAGTGAGTTCGCGGAAACTGGTTTAACACGATGCTGCGATCTCGCGAGAAGAAGATACTAGGAATCCGAAACTCGTGGCTTCCTCGAGAGAGTCAACGTACCTGGCCCCCTTCGCTCCGGGCCGTAGCCTTTTAACGACGACCGACGGCGACGTTCCACCACCTCGATCTCCTCCCCCTCCCCCCTCCCCTCTCTCGTCCCATCACCCTCCTCCTGCTTCAACTTCAACTTTTTCTTCTGCACCTCCAACCCCTTCTCTTCTTTCTTCGTCATCTTCTTACGTCGCAATCGGGCGCTTTTTTTCCAAGCCTCGCACACGAAACAGGTATTTTCAGCGTACCCAAAGAAAGAGAGAGAGAGAGAGAGACAAACGTATTTGTAAATGGCGGCGAGAATGGAAGCAAGACTATAAAAGTAACGAGATTGTACTATCAACGAGAGTAAAGAACACCAAGAGCGAAAGGAACACGTTTCTACTCTTCTTCCAAACGTATCTTCTTTTGTCGTTGAAAAATGATATCACTTGGAGAATCTTATATATACTGTGTGGAGCAAAAGTTCTTAGGTGTTTTGAAAAAATTTAATTACTTTTTCTCTCGACACTTTTTTCGTATTAAAAAACAATCACACAAAAATTAATCGTGTTTATTATTAATTAAATGAAAATTTTATAATAGGATAGTGGAAATAGGAGAGTATAAATGAATGTTAATTTGCCGAAACGTTTGGAAAAAGGTATCGATCTCGTTAGGATAACTGTTTAACTTCCCAATGAGAGAAGTTACAGTGCGATTACTATACTTGTAAGGTATATCTATGAATCCATATTGGGATACGATCGCCAAAGTCGATCTCGATCTTTCACCGTTACATTTCACATACGGGGATGAAATAACGATTAACAACTACGAAAGAATGCAATACTAGTTGTATAAAATGACTTTCGTTCAAAGTTTCCTGTTCGATCTGAAAAAGGATAAAATTTGTCGAAGATTCGTAATTCTTTTTATCATTGTCACACTGCATAACTCTGTAAAAAACTTAATATTCCAAGAATAACTAAACGTCTAAAAGCAAACCATGAACAATTTCAAAAAAGATTATTTTCGTATTGTATGATACATATTTAAAAAGAAAAAAAAATAAGGACACGACTATCACGAAAATTATGCGCTATTAGTACGTAAGAATTATTTAAACGATAATAAATGATTGTGCATGTATATAGAGTTTTCCCAAAAGTTACTTTACTGAAATGAGAAATTTGATTTGACAGATATTTGAAGTGACGGCATCATCGTAGGCGCATATTTTTTTAACACCACTGCAACTGAAAATTTATATCTTTAAATGAAAAACAAATTATTGTAATTTTATGTTTTTTCGGTAAAGTAACTGTTATGACACGTCGTATGTATTTTTAAAACAAATTATTACTCGTTCGTGTTATAATATATACTTCATCAAGATAATTATAATAAATTCAACAAAACACAAATGATACAAACAATTCGAATAAAAATTGTCGCGTTAATATTGTTAATTTATTCCAACGATTTATGAATTATTATTAATTGTTTTCATGCATATAAATTAAAATGCAGACACGATAAATCTTTTCTCGCGAATATAAATTATCGATCATTAAAGATTATTAACGCAATAAGATTAGCGCTATGATTTGGTAAAAACTAAAGCGAAATCAAACGTAGATCTTATCGACAAGCTAAATAAAGATGGTCGTTTATAAAAAGGTAGTTGTATGAGAGGCCATACGCACATGAACCGTTACCACCAACCAACCGGACGACGGCCGGCGATTTCCGAACGTTTTCTACGTTATTTAATATACAACAACGTTTTATACACGATTTCTCACGAAATTTTCCCGTTTAAAACAATAAATTAACAATACGCGTCACTATCGATCATTCTAAATTAATCTCAAAAAAGTCAAATGATCTATAGCAACGATCACTCGACTGTCCAACGTAAACATATTACTTTCAAGTTTCTAAAACCTTAAAATTCTGATCCTAAATTCTTAAGATTTATCTTGAATAATTTATCAACACAGTAGCGATATATTGTTTTCGAAAATAAAAATAAAAACTGTCCCGACAGTTTAGTTTTGTTCGTACACCTGCACACGTCTGTCTAATCCTTGAATTTTCAAAGTGTACACGGGATAAGAATCATAATCGGCTTACTCACTATTCAAACGAACATCCTTCCTCCATCGGCTGATAATATCCACGTGCTGAAACACTGAACACAGTTATATACACTACAAACCGCGTGCACCAACGAGAAGAGAGAGAAAGAAGAAACACACACGCGCACTTCACAACGAATTGAAGCGAGCACCGCGGGAAGAAGCGATCATTCGATTAAAACTCGTCAAACAACGTTATTGTAATTTAAAAAACACTATTAAAAACCCGTATAGAAAGAGGAGGAGGTTACGACGAAAGATATAAAAAAAATTCTCGTACGAAGGTTAAAAAACCGCGCTTTCACGAAGAAAAACACTGATCTACGATCGCTTCGTATGGCCGGCTGTGGCTCGACTCGTTTTCCCTTCGGTGTGACGCCTCGATCCTTGCCGTGTAACCCCCACTCCCCTCTGATACCTGGTTCCACTCACTCACTCTCTCTCTTTCTCCCCCTCCTTCTTTCTCTATCTCTTACCCTTCTCCAACTAACTTCTACTTCCAGTTTACGCTTCCGATTCGTTCGGTCATTTTCGGATCTCTTCGGATCGAGCTCGGTATCGCGCCGAGACAAAACGCGCGGCTATCTTCTGATTCGTCGTTTCTAAGAACACTCGTACGGGAATAAATATTTTTGTTTTTTTACGGTCAAACGAATTCCTCTCGCAAATATCTCAGATTTTTTAAGTAAGTTGGGAAAGATAAATGATAGATATTTAGAACGAAAAAGTAAATCATTTCGAAATTACATACGATTACTTCGATCGAATCTTCTTACTGGATAATTTTCAAAAATATTTTTTATCATCACGTGATCACGATTTTTATTGGTTTATAATAACCCACTAATCGAGATGTGGCGCTTATTTTAAATTCCACAAAGTGAAAGTTGGGTATCAAAAATAAGATAGAAGCATAAAGAAAATGCAAATATTTATTTGAATTTCTATTATATAGTTTACTTATTTTTTACTATCACCATTTTCAACATTAGCATCTTTTCTTAATTCATATATCTAAAAGAAATTAAAATACAATTAATGTTTTCTATTAATAAGAAAAATATGTTAATAATTTTAGATCATACGTACTTGTATGTAAGCTTCGGTCAACGTTATCATTTGTGGTAATATTTGGGTTACATGTAAATCTTGTAACTCATACCATTGTCCAGTAGCTCTATGTAAAATATGAACCCTATATGTTCCTTGTCCTGGTTCACCATCGTGTACTATATTAGCCACAAGATCGTATGTTGTATAAGGATGTCTAATCTTAACTTCTGGAGTTAAAATGTCACCGAAATCGACATTTCTATAAAAAATATTTATAGTTTAAAATACTACTGTAAAGATATCATATAAATTTTCTTACAAAATGGAATCAACTTACTTAACTGGAAAATTGACTATAGTTGGATTCTTTTCAACAAAGAATGTATTTCTAGTAAACCTCTGTAAATAACGCATATAATTCATTACATCTTGTATATTTTTTTGTAAATAATTATCATTATTTATAATATATACTAACTTTTATATACAGAATTAAATATGGTGGAAGTTCTGTAATTTCAAATCTTTTCATAAAGTTTTCTTTATACGTTTTATATTCTTTCTCAGCCACAGCATTAAATTTATTTAACAGCGTATACAAATTTACCTAAATGAGAGATAAAATGAATAGATTAAATGCACTTGATAAATACGTAAATATAAATCATTAGATTTTAATACGTACTTGTGGAATAATATTTTCTGTAAATTGATCTTTGAAAAGAGGTGGTGGTGGTAAATCGCAGGTCAAGTAAAGAAATGGACTTTGTGTAACTGTTTCTCCGTATTCAACTGTGTGTAATAATTCACTTCTTTGGCTTTCTTCTAATTCAAGCGGAGGTATTTTTCTGGTATATATTCTCATATGTCCCAAAAACGTTTTGTAAACGATACTAGAATCGCGTTTTTTTGTACCATTTAACGCCAAGTGCAAAGCATTCAAAAACCAAGATAAAAAGTCCACCGGATCGCCTAAATATTTTATTTATATTAAAAAATTATATATTCATACATTGTTTGAAGAGATTTTGTATTAGTTATTTAGTTCTTTACTTACCTTGCTCAGTGAATTGAAATCTTTTTTTACTCCATAGTACCACAGCCTGTAACATTTCATGAGGGCTCACATGTGCCTTAAAATTGCGCGGATTCCATAGTTTCCTCATCAATTCACCAAATCTTTGAACTAAAAGATATGAAGAATCTCCAGGTGGCCTTTTCACATAAGCATAATTAGTCTCTCTCAAAAAGAAATCCCTCAGAGGAGTAACATGAGATAGTGCCTAAAAAATAAATGTTTAATAATGAACAATAACTTTTGTTCCTACTGTAATTATAAATCCTAAATATAAAACAACTTTTTAAAATTACTTACTTGTAAAATAACATTACAGTAATCGTTCGCTTTGATATTATTCATGCCAACTATACCTGGCGAATACATTGATCCATCTATGGCTCTAGACAACTTGTCACTTTTATCTAACAAAGCGATTTGTGCTTTATCAAATGTTGGATTTAACACATACTTAATGTCATCTAAAGATGAATCTAAAAAAGTAATAGCGTACTCTTAATAGAAGTTAATAGATCCAAACAAATGTCATAGCGCATTAATACTAACCTACTATTTCATAGTTATCAGGTAAACAATAAAATTTCAATGTATGCAAATTTAAAAATACATGATGACTTTCTGCCACACTATGAGTATATGCATGTGTATTGGTTCCTCTGCCTTGAAAATATTTTCCACATACCAAGCAGGCATACACGTTGATTCGTGACAATGAAACGGAACATAATTTCTCAAAATCAAAATCTAAAAATTGACGATTAATCGTATCTAGATAAGGACACAAACGTGGTGCTTCAATTCTAGTCACTTTAACATCTGAAATAAAAATAATATGATTTATAGTAAATAATATAAAATTGTTCTTAACCTCACCAAACATAAACAAACAACTTTGCCATTGGTATTTCCCACATCTCGTACTTAATAATTCTTAGTAAAATAAATGAATTAAAAGTATACTAAACTCACTCTCATTATTAAATCGTGTATCATTACTATCAAATTTACGTTTATTTCGATTGATTTGTTGGCTAGACGCCATTTTTACTATCTGTTGAGCAATGCAATAAACCATTAACCTCTAATACAAGTCAAACTAAAACGTATCTTATTTCTCATAAATGCATTAACATTTATTTAAAATCAATGTAGATAATTGAAAACAATAATTATAAATGTAATACTAATAAAATAAGATTAACTTATTTAATTAACATAATTTCAATAGTTTTCAGTTTCAGTTCAATAAGTTTCAGTTGATTTAACAAAAAATGTTCTCAATTAAATAAATATGTGTTATATAAAAAATAAAATAAATAAATAAATATATATATATATATACAATAAATGAACAATAATGAAGTAATATAAATAAACAATTAACAAACTAAATATATTATCGACTGAGCAAGAAAATTCCAACGAAAGATAAAAAACGAAAATAAAGTTTAATGTAAAGTTTGAATTTAGATTACGAAACAAAACGAAAGATATATAAAAAATGGAATAAAACAAATCTGAAAAGTTAAAGATAAAGTATCATACTTATATATATTTTTCAAATGTATGTGTAGCAAAGTTAAAAGTGGCGCCATCTGAAGGAGATGATTAATTCTTTTTGAGTGAAGAAAAACGAATACGGGGAGCTCTAATCCCCCGCTCTCTCGTACGTCTCCTAGCCGATTACGAGAGAGTATCCGAATGTAGTGGAGATCTGAGTACCGTTTAACAAACGTATCTTGAAGGATAAAATGCTTCCTCGTAAGAAAAGTTTTTAATGAACATTTTATTCGTTAAAATGATTTGGAAAAGAGAGAAAATCGTTCGATCGTGATGCGCGTTGTCGCGGTCTCGCCGAATCTTCGGAAAAAATTGTCTCGTATCGAGAGCTTTTCCAAGGAGATATTACTTTGATCTAAAGTTTCAATATTTCAATCTGTTAATCTTATTCTTTTATTTCTCGAATGAATTTATTTTTCTCGATAAATAGACAAATTTTTTTGAAAATATTCTTCACCGATAATGGCCATCGTCGAAGAATTCGATTATCTTTGTCGTTTGTGCGCGACCAAGACTGGAATTCTCATGGGATTACCAATCTTCGAGGCTGGCGATCAGATGCGTAACATCCATAAGAAAATCGCAGCGTGCCTTCCCGTCCAAGTAAGAACGTCTTCCAATATAATTTCTTAATTAATTTACCTCTTCCTTCCTCTTATATTCTTCTATTTTAATTATAGAGGGATCTACAATTATACATGATATACAATTATATATGATTGATACCCTATGAGATTACATTCAGTATTTTAGCTTTATTATTTTTTTTTTCAACATCTTTTTTATTCTCCTTTCAAATTCAATCTATAATGATATATCGTAATATATTTATTATTTAATTAAAAAAGAGAAATAATTTTTTTATATTTTATTTTACATTTATCTTTTGGATTTTTCTTACAGGTTTCAATGACCGATCAGCTTCCTAAAGTAGTATGCGAAGAATGCGCATATAAATTAGATCAATTGTTTGATTTTCGTGAAAAATGTTTACATACTGAAGGTATGTTTATGGAAATGTTAAAAGAAATTAGCAAGGATGAAACAGTGCGTATATCGGAGCATAGTTTAGAAGAGGTAGCTGAAATGAATATGAATAGAATTCAAAGGAATATAGATAGAATACAGAGTGATATTGAAGAAGTCCAAAATCATGCTAGCATAGTTTCTCATGAATCAGGGGTAACGGCTATACATACTATGCAAGTTATGGATGAAATGGATTTAGCTGGCGATGAACAAGTTGTTACGCAAGAAGATATTGGTCAACAGGATCATGATATGGAGGTTACTGACATTGACTGTTTAGATGGTGAAACAGTAAGAATGGTCGATGAACATATAAGAGAAGTAATTTTTATCTTATCATCGTTGAGAAAAAATTAATAAAAGAAACAACATTTTATGCATATTTACTATTCTCTAATCTTCTACAATATTTCTGATCATTTTCAGGTTTCAAATCATCAAATAGCTATGCATTTGGAAGATGATATGACTGTAGTAGGAAATTTAACTGTAGATGGACATTTGAGTCAACTTGGAATAAATTATGTAACTTCCATAAATCCAGAAACTGAAACTAGAGGACAATTAGTGCATTATTGTGAAAATGTTAAGTATGAATCAGTGCCTATAAAGCAAGAATATCAAAGGTTACAAGAGAGATTAAATTCTGAAGATCCTACACATGTATTAGAAAATAATGTAAGGCATATGATTTTTTCAAAATAAATTAACACGAAATAGAAATAAATGTCTTATTTCTTTATAGGTACCCACCGATGGGTTTCATTCCTCTCAACCAGAAACAGAAAGTGAGATAGAGGAAACAAATGTTAGTGAAAATGAAGTTTGTAGAAGTATGGATGTAAATCATTCAAATGTGTTGCCCTCCACCAGTCAATCTAATACGGAAAATACGGAAGTTATTGTTGAGTATACTAAAGAAACTAAACATACTTTATTAGAATCTATATTAAATAATCCAACCATCGATGAGACTAATACCCATTGGTATGTGTGTCCTTTCTGTAATGAAGCTGCAATGGAAATGAGTAATTTTGCAGTACATTTTGAACAACATTTTTGTTCATGCTCTTGTGGTTTGTATTTTACAAGTGTAGAAGTATTAAATATTCACAAAGAACAGTGTAACTCGTATAAAACAAAGGAAGATAATAAGGAAATAAAAGTAATAGAATCAGAATTAGTTCCATCGCAAAGCAATGATAATGCAGATATCCAAAAGAAACCATCCACTGTAAGACAAAAATGGACACCCAAAATTTGTACTCAGTGTGGTAAGCAGTACAGAACCAATTATAAATTACAAGAGCATATGCGCAAACATACAGGAGAAAAGCCTTTCCAATGTCTGATTTGTGAAAAAGCATTTCGTAGCAAGATAGGTCTTGCACAACATACAGCAACACATACTGGTCAGTTCGATTACACTTGTTCTACTTGTGGCAAAGGATTCCAGTGTAAAAGTTATCTGATCGTCCATCAGAGAGTTCATTCGGACTTAAAACCTTATCCTTGTAGTACTTGTGGACAAAATTTTAAAACTAAACAATCCTTATTGGATCATCAAAATAGGCATCTTGGTGTAAAGCCTTACATGTGTGAAGTTTGTGGTAGAGGTTTCATAACTAAAGGTCTTTGTAAGAGTCATCAGAAAATACATTCAGGTATGGATAATCGACAGTACCCATGCATAGTGTGTAATAAAATGTTTGTCAGCAAAAGTTATCTTAATACACATTTACGTATACATACTGGTGAGAAACCCTATCTGTGTGAAGTATGTGGGAAAGGATTTTTAACGCGTGTTGATCTTAAAATTCATTCCACCATGCATACTGGTGAGAAAAGCTTTAAGTGTGAAATGTGTGCTAAAGTCTTCGCTAGAAGAGCAGCTTTACGATGTCATAGAAGATCGCATACGGGAGAAAGACCATATAGATGTGACGTTTGCGATAAAACATTTACTCAATTTAGTCCAATGGCTATTCATAAACGTTTACACACTGGTGAAAGACCATATGAATGTGATATGTGCGGCAAAGCATTCGTATCACGATCGACTATGATGTGTCACAGAAAAAAACATCATATTCCTGTGACACCTACACAAAAAGATGTTTTAGTTTCTAACGAGGATGCAGAAGTGAAACACATTATATCAACAGAAATAGTGCTTAGGGAATCACATGACGGAATCCATATTACTGCTGATTGAATAGAAACTGGAAAAAAAATCTGAAATATTAATTTAAATTAACAAAAATAGGAAAAGGTAGGAAGGAAATAACTGATTTCATTTGTACTTATATAAGATATAAGATATTTTGACCTGCATTTATTGTTTACTCCGTTTTAGGCTCCATGCTCTATGTTTTGGGACATGTAATATATATATATTGTAAAAGTTTAATGCAAGAAAGATATTTTTTCAAGAATATTGTTTTATAAACATTCATATGCTTACCTATATATATAAATTCCCAGAATGCAGGTTTAATAATATCTTTCTATTTATATATATATATATATATATATATATATATATTGCAGAATTGAATTAAATTAAAATCTTATAAATATTTGATGTCTATGAAATTAACTAGCTTCCATTTATGGTCAAATTTAAAAAGAAAACAGAAGTGAGTTTTTTAAATACACGATCGCAGTAATATTTCAACGTGTCTATAATAAATCCTATCCTTTTCCACATACAAAACATATACTTTCTGAAAGTGCTTTAAAAAATCTAGATGATTGTTACAGTTTTGATATATTTTACATCTTTCTATAAGATAGAATAACATAAATGAATCAAACAATGCTTACATGAATTATATATTTTTTTTTTCTATAAAATGAAAAAAAAATTATTTGTCAAATAGAGAAAATTCTATTAAAGAAATTGCATACGACATATATAATAATTTATTATGGATGTGTAAAATATATAATTTATGGAGTCTATCATTTTACATTTATATATGTTTGAAATTTATTGAATGAGAAGCATATGAAATAAGAAGAATATATTTATTCTAAAGTCGATCATATGATATATTGTACAAAGTAAATTATGTTTATTATTTTAATATGCTTGAAAAATAAATCTTCAGTTTTATATCTTATATAAGGGATCTATTTTTGTTTTTTTTTTTTTTTTTAATTTTGTTATTGTTATCGCAAAGCCAGTTATCTTATTTTGCAACATAAAATAATATTCTTGTAATCACAAAAATAAAGGATAAAATCATAGTATTCTAGCTGAAAGGTGAAGAGATTATTTTTCTTTTGATGTTTAAAAGAAACTCTCAAAAGGTAATCGTGTTTTGTGTGCACAAGAAATTTTTATCCAAAAATAAAATTTATTTTAAGAAGACTTAAAATCATGTCTTTCGATTTTATAGATACATTATTTATGCTTTTCTGTTTTATCTATCATTTCTCATTCCTATTACAATGGCTTTCAGCACTATACAAAGTAGCAATTGTGATATATACTTAATAAAATAACTAATTATATTTGTAAAATTATTATGATTGTATTATTATGATTAAGGAAAGCCCTTGTCTGCAAATATATGAACTTCACACTTTCTTCTGAGCGTTTTCTTTAAAAAATATTCAACCCAGGTATATTTGACGAAGTTACATTATTTCCATGATATTGTTTTCAAAATAAATATTTTATTCTACGACAATTTATATGTATTTTTTTAAACAAAGATAAAAGAAAACTTAATGAATGCAATTTTTCTATTTAAAAAATGTGGTTTTATTTTGTGATAATAATTAATAATAATTACATAGTAGCACAAATAGCTACATGGATTTTGGATTTCACACGCAGCTATGATCTAAATTAATGTTACAAATATTGTGGAACACATACATATATTGGTACAATTAAATCCAAAAGTGAATTTGAACTATTTTATTATTATTGTAATGTTTACATAATCATCATATATAAATATGCATATATATGATAAAAGATTTAGTAATTGCTTGCTGCTTGTGTCATCCACATCTCATCTACAATTGACAATGAATTTATTCTATTATTTCACATTAACTATCTATGCAAGGCATCAATAACAATGCGTGTAATTATCACCTCATTTTTTCTTTATTATATATATAATATTTATATATGGGACCCCTGTAGTAGTACTACTCACGATAGATGATTAATTTCCATTGACTTGAATAATTTATTACTGTAAATTATGAAGCATATACATAATATTTTATCATGTCTATAATGATACAGCTTCATAATTACAAAATACATATAAAATTGTAAATAGCGCGGATATAAAGAAAAGAAAAAGCTTTATAGAAAATTGTAACAATGTAAAGTACAAAATATGTAGATTTTGGATAAATTTCCGAAAATTTCATTTGAACATATAGAATGTATCTACTATTTGATTAAATAGAGATATTGTACTTTGCAGTAATTTTTTGTTTTTACATGATATTGATTTAAAAAGCGTGCGCACCAGGGGTTCTTTCTATAATCAGTTATTACATTACTATATTTTATCGATAACGTTATATATGTATATGTTACAAAGCACCAATTCTAACGTGTATTTAATATTTATATATAGGGTGTCACTTAGTTAATGTAGTGTAATTAACTATAAAATAGATTATTTTCAAAGATTTCCTTTATTCGATTATTTTAAAAATTATTTAAATTTAACATTTGTGCTTGAATATTTTATATTAATGTACCAAAGAAGTTATTATAAACCTAGTTATTATTTTTATTTTATATTTCTTATATTTTAAAATAAAAGAAATATAATTTTATGCAAAGACAAAATTTGAGCACAGCCACGAGATTAATCACAGAGAAATAATGAAACATATCTATCAACACCCTATATATTCGTCTATTTATTATAAAACTTTAATAGATAATTAACTTATACGAGATATATTTTAGTAGAAATAATTTAAATAATTTACGACATAAATCATCGATATATGAAATACTTAATAGAATTGAAAATCGTAAATATTAATCATTCGATGCACGCTAAATGTTTACTTGTAACTATATATACTTCTAATAAGTTACACATACGTATATTGCGCGTATAATAATACATTTGAAATCTCTTCTACTGTGAATATATTGATCCCAAAAACTGACTCTTAAATGCTAAGCTTATATAAAAACTTAGCATAGTGTGTCACAGCATTTTTTTTCTATTCAAAGTAGACATTCTTATAACGTGTTAACTAATTTCAACAATCCACACATAAGCTATAACGTTGCATATAAACTTTGATTTTGATAATAGTTTAATAAGTAATTTAAAAATAAGAAAATTAAAACAAGGGACAATTAAATATGTATATTCATATATATATTTATATTTATATACTTCGACGTAGTTCGCTATTCCTGATTCTATGATGCAAACACACATTATTTTAGTAATAAACAGAGACAATTTAATATTCAATATTTTTTATTACGAAATTAGAGAACTATTTAATAATGCTTGTATATTTGCCTTTGCTACTAATTAACAAAATTCTTATTATCGTTTATTTTCTATTTCCATGCTATATAGCAAACACTGGTTTCATTATTTTGTGCTAACAGAAATATAAAAAAAAAAGTGTAAAAACGATATACGTACGTGTCAAATTATAATAATATTGACGAGTTAAAAATATATCGAGCTACATATATGTATTTTTTCATCTATAAAAATTGTATTTCTCAACTTAGGAAGCTGGAGAATGTATCACAGCTGAAATTAGGAAATTTGATGGTATACTCATCAATGATAGACAAAAAGCAAAATCGATATTGTCAATAATTTCTTTATTTATACATATCTCTGTTTAGGAATTACGAAATTGTGAATTTGTTTGGTATTTGGTTGTATTTTTTTTTCTTTTCTTTCTTTTTTTTTCCTTTCAACGTATATTATGCATTATTAAAAGCAGTAACAGCATTACTTGATTTGTATAAATTTTTTGTGATAGGAATCCGAATAAATTTATTTTTAAATAATAGGCAAAAATATAAGCTCAATTGTTGTGCAAAAAGTAGTGTGTATAAGGATAACAATGTAAAGCAAATGCTTTTGTTTTTAAATAGCTCATTAATTATTTTTTTTTACTTCTACAGAATGGAACTCTATAGAATATTATTATAGTATTTATTTACAAACTATATAATGTAAAGTTTTGTTATGTTGTTACGTGAGAAAAGGAAGAAAGTGCATAGCAAAATAGTGTCAGGTCATATTTATCTCACTATTTAAGTAATGGGTGATATATTGATGCAATTTTCAAGCAAAATATTCATTCAGCAATATTTTGCAATTCTGTACCACTTGACAGTAATTTGTTTTCTTGCGTATTAAAGATTCTGAAATTCAGTTATCACTTGTACACTGCCATCAATTTCTATTATTTCACACTATATCATTCTAATAGTGTAACGTTCACCGATGTACAGCAAATTACACTACAATGAAATTGCAGCGAATTTATAACGTTATTCACAATGGTAATAATGACATAAACCAGTTAGTCCATCAGTCTTTCTCTCATTTCGATTATCTGTCATGGATCATTTCTTTATACTCGTTAAAATATACATTCGCATTTGTATTTTTGTGTCTGTGGTGGTAAATATTTTTTTTTCAAAACAAAGAAATACAATTTTTATATGTAATATATCTGTTATTAATTGCTCTATGATCTACATTACACATAAGATAATTAACTGATATGATATAACAAGATTAAAATATTTGGACCTCTTTCTGACATTCAATATTATTAGATTTATATTGAAATATTTCTTTAGAATATAATTATTTTATCGACAAGAATTATCATATACAATAAATACTTTAATAACGTTTGTAAGTGAACTTTTTTTATTATTGCATCGGTGGATTATCAACTATTATAATATTAATTAATGCTATCTTAATAATCATCGTTAAATAATTAACTTTTGTGACTCGTAACTATTAACTTATTATGGACTCAATATTAAATTTGGAATCATTTCTCATGTTGAATAAGCCCATCCTAAAATAGCATGATACAATAAGACCAACCACAGACACACTGAAGACAGCATTTTCTTTTATTATATTATTCAATTCTTAAGTCCTCTCATTTAGTGTTTATTAAGATCAATGTTTAAGCAGAGCTGCATGGAAAAGTAATCATATATATGTCTCGACACCTTACGTTAAATGTCCATGACTGTAATATCGTTTCATAGTATGGTTCAATAACATTAGGATATACGTTTCTTCAATCATTTTTCCTAAAGTTCATCAAAGAAAAAATGGGACTTTATTTTACAAGGAATAATAATCGTATCCGTCGTACAAGATGAAACTCTATTCCAATGATTTTAAACAAATTTAAACATACAAATAATATAAGAAAAAAATAATATATTTGTAAATAATACTTTATATATTCTTTTTTCACTAATTTAGTTAATAGTCTTTTTGATGAAAATACCTACTATTATGCAGATAATAGCATAATAAATAGATAAATCAAATCATTTTACCAATTAAACGCGCGACTTCAAATAGATGCATTTTATATCAATTAAATCAATAGTAATAATGCATCTAATTAAATATATAAACACGAACAATTATATTTGCGCACATATGATGTTATTGCTCCAACAATGCAGCATTTGTAAATGGCTCCAATCGTTGATTATTGTAATCAATTTTGCATCATCATCACTGGGTTCATTAAATTTAAGTATACCACCCTAAAATCAATTCCATTTGAATACTTAAACTTATTCCAAATATTACAAGAAAAACGGCTGATATCGCGTTCGTGAAGTAAAAAAAATATTAATTAAAAAATAAATTAAAACAAATAAGAAATATATTAAATATTATATGTGCCTTTAAAAATAATGGAATTTTATTCGTATGTATAAATTAGAAAGTATTATATGTTTTCTATTTTAAAAAATATATTATTTTCATTGAAATGATAAATTTACTTATATATTATAAGAATCTTATTTAAAAGAGAATTTTGTATATATTCTTAGAATAATTAAATAGATAAAAAAAATATTTTCATATAACTTACAATGCTACTTCACGGCGAGCGTTTGTTTAAGGTGGCGCATGAGGTGACTCCCAACATCATGCACCTCTGGCCATTGTTTGAGCACGAACACTATACCCAATACAACGAGCGTGGTCGTTAGTATGCGCACCCTGCACATGAAACAATGAGGCTTAGTACAGCTGTAACAAACGCGTGAAAATGAAACTAAACAATTAGTGAGCAAAATTAAATTTTCATGTATCTATATATGATGTCCATGTTATCTTAAAATAATATTAATTAAATAACGATCCACCCATACGTACATATAAATACATCTAACAACTTATTTATGACAATATATTCAAAACAACAAAAGGATTAATTAATATCTACTATCGTAATAATATTTGACATATTTTACAATTAATAACCATGAACATAAATGATTTTTTTACATGAGAAAATGATTCATGAAATTACTAACTAAAAATGAATATAAAAGAATATTTGTAGGTAAATATTGATAATAAATGATGTTACCTGGTTCTAAGGAATGGCACCATAATACCAGCACCTGTTGCAACAAGGAGTAAAATAACTTGCAGTACTGTTAACACTATATTTATCAACTTGACGACCAATGCTCTTGCATTACTATTGTCAAGACCTTCTAATGTAACATACTGTTGGTGTTGTTGCTGTTGATGTTCCATCTTACATATTTTCGTTTGACAACTTTCTAACATTTCATGTATGTCCCTTAAACGATCTTCACTCTGATATTGTACTTTTTCTTCCATATCTGTAATTGTTTGTTTCAAATTTTCTACTTCATTCTGATGAAGTTCGGTCAAATCGTTGATTTGTTCTTCGAGACGATCGCATCGAAAACGTTCTTCTTGTAGACCATGTGATAAGTATGCTACTTCTTGCTGCAAAGCCTAAATAAAAACACTAATTCATACAATTTTTTTCTAACTTCTATAATAGAAATAATAAAACATAGCTACTATTGAAATTAGATTTCCATACCCAAACCCCAAATTTGCATATATAGTTTATGTATGATAAACGAACCTTTAAGCCATCTAATTTTTCCTTCATTCGTACAAGAGTGTTTCTATGTCCATGAAGTTCTGTGAAGATGGATTTGAAATTCAATGCAGCATTATTACTGTGACAAGTATGTGTTTGGCCTCTACTACCTGGTCCACTTTCACTCGTTACACTAGAGCATTCTGAACCTTCTTCCGACGGATATTTCATTGCCACGGCACTGTGCGTAGATCCAAGACTACAGCCACCAGGTAAAGTAGCTGATCCATGATGAGTCTTTTCTTCTTCAACACTACCGTTATCACCATTACCTGCATGTGGTGTATCGTTTACATAAAAAGTTGAGCCATCTGCAGAGACATAGATTTTGCAAGTTAGATCGTTATCCAATACCAAAATATAAACTCTAATAACAACTAACGCTAGTTGTTGCCGTCTTTCTATTCTGTTTAAATATTTTTAAAGTATTTTTATCAACAAAACAAATATATAACAGAAATAGAAATATATGCTAATGTGAGTTAGAATAAGAAATTTTGTTTACATGTACATATAAATAATATTACAATATTATTTACGAACAATCGTTAAGATTTCATTTTTTAATAGTATTGGATAACTACTATTAGATAAAGCATCATAGAAATGTACAATTAATACAAGCAACCAATCACCTTAGAATAAAATTATCATTAAATAAATAAATAAAATGAAAAATATAAGTACTAACTGCGAAGTTGATAATTATTTAATATACAAAAGCTTTAGAATTCAGTGAATTATTTAAAAAAGAAAAATGATAACAAATACAGTGTATGATATTTACAAAAATATTTTTTTTGTAATATCTTTGAAGATATTCGTATGATCGTAAAATATTGAACGCAACTAAATACAAGAACACGTTTCACATATGAACATAAAATTGATATTGAAATTAACAGAAAAGACTATATACAGAATATAAAAACGTAGAATAGATAGACGCAAAGTGAATTTTGTTTCGTGACACATTACTTACTACTCTCAACTGCCATGATAGCGCAACATATTAAAAAAAAAAAAACATTTATTTTTGAATATAAGTGCACAACAATCCACATAGAAATATAAAAAGAAAAATTGCTCTTTCTTCAAATATATCATGGATATTTTAATATACTCAAATTTACTTTTGGATAAAGTTAAATCAGACAATATATATATAGTGCGAGACACTTAGAATAATTATATATTAAATATAATAAAACATACATATGTATATCACAATAGTTGAATTTAGACTACAAATATATAGTCTAAGAAAGTGCACAGTACCAGATAAATTAATCTTTATCAAATATTATATTGTCAAAGTAGTGCATATTCTACATAACTACTATATCCAATTGCATTCTAATTTTAATTTAAAGCTGAACAAATATTATATAATTTTAAATTGACAATACAATTTGTAGCAATATTTTGATAATATATAGCAAAGTATAATAAAATATGTACTATAAATATTACTCACGTGATAATGTGTTTATATTGTCAGCACTTCCAAATTTATTTTTAATAAGATGTGCAAACTCCCTTGGCTTTGACATGACACTTCTAAAATAGAATAGTCAATAATTAATGATAATATAATAGTAAACAACTACACTTGCTATACTTTTCAACGTTACTTTACATCTATTACACAAATCATAATTTTATATACATTACATAAAAACATAAGGTATAATATTATTTTATATATACTTTATCTACATGAATGCATATATAAAATACAACAATATTTTAAAGTTTACAACTTGGAAAATAGAAGCAGTTTAGGACGTGTATTAAATTGAAATTATAAATCCTTATTTTAAATAAATATACTCTCTTTCAATAATAGTCAATGACAAGTTTGATTGTAGACAAACTTTTTAATAAGTTTTTCTAACCTCAACCGTATATACTATAATTTTAATCTTTTATTACTTCTGATAAATAACGTTCGCATAAAATATTAATTAAATAAATTAATATATAATAGATATTGAATATAGTTGAATCACAATCTATTTTTATCATAACACTCACCCTGAAAAACCAGTGATTCCGTCCCTAATATTGCCACCCACATTTCTGGAAGGGAGTCTCAAATTAGAAGAAAAAATCACTCTCTATACTTAGCAATGAGTGTAGAGGATAGAGAAAATAAAAGGTGAAGACCAATATACACCATATCATAGAATCGAATTGACATGAGTTTAATTTGTGCAAAGTCCTTTTGCATGTTAGCAAGAAACTATGTAATAGATCATGCAACGTGCATGGTGATGTTCATGTATATACAAAACATGCTATGTTAAGAAAATAATATCTGTTATATGAGAAAAATACTATAACTCGTTATTTATTTTAAGTATAAAGATAAAGCAAAATCTATATTTATAAGAACTACTTATACTTCTAAACTAATACAAATTAAATTATACAAATGTAAATATTAAAGTTAAATACACCTACTTTAATCCTTGTCCCATATCACGAAGTACTTCTCTTGGTTGTCTATGACCTACGGGTGCACCATTCATTTCATAACTTTTTAATCTTTTTTGATAACTGTCCAACTTTTTTTGTAACTGAGAAATACTATTTGCTGATTTTTGATTTTTCTTTTCAAACACCGTTTTAATTCTAGTTAATTGTTGTTTATCCGCATTTGCAGCCAATTTTAAATATTCGTTAACATTTTCTACAAAGAAGAAAGATAATGATATTAATGTCATTAAATCCAATACATTATGATAATATAATAATAGAGAAGAAGATAATTCACCATCACGAGTAGTTTGTTCGGTACGTATGAGATCGCGTGTTTTAGCTATTTTATTTTGAATATGTTCGATCGCTTGTCGAACTCGCGTAGCGCTTGAGTCCACATCGTCGCTTATTAATTCAGAAGAACCATTGGATAGGAACGATTGTATGGTATGATATTGTTCCTACAAATAACCAATGTATAAAATAAAATGCAGTTTGTAAAGAAAATCTCATTCTTGATATTAATTAAGATTTTGAATTTGATGCCAAATTCACTTATAGCAATATGCAAATAATTTCTTCATTCTTTAATCGACTACATTGTTATAAATGATAACCTTGTAATCTTATACTAGAGCGGATGCAAGCATGATAATATTTTATCGCAATGTGTGTCGATGTAAAAATATCATTTCTATTATATAACAAAAAATATAATATATAAATGTTAGAATAATATTAAGAATATATTAACTTAATTTAGCATAATACGTACTCCTTCATCATCGGTTGGAGGTTGAACGTTTGGCACAAACTCATCTGGTTCGGCAGTGATTGGATTACCGTTTGATTCATCCATAGCATCCCCCATGCGGATTAAAGTACCTGGTGATCTTTGTCTGCTGCTGCCTTTCATGCTGAAGCTACTCCCACAACCACCACAGCTGCTACCACTGCCTGTGCTACCCTCTCCTGTTTGATAGCTAAAAAGAAGAAAAAGATTGATGTAACATTCCATTCCAAATATTATACAAATTCATTACTTATAATTAGTTAGATTACCAATTATAAACTTACATTGGAGCATTACGTGCTTTTGGTGTATGTTCCAAACTAGTTGACTGTTGGTAATGAGCTTGAGATAAAGATGTATTCCCTCTAGTAGGAGAAGTGCTACGTGAGCTGTTCTTACTTGACGAAGTCACCATCAAGCTAGCCATTCCTTTCTTCTAATAAGGTTTATTATTAGGATATCAGACAAATGCCACATGTTGTACTGAATCTGTAGTCATATAAATCTTCAATTAGACATGTTTTTTATCAGATGATTTCTAGGTACGATAAGAAACACTCTTAATAAAAATCAGCAACACCTATATAAGGCAAATATATAAATACATAAAAAAGATTAATACACAAGATGAATCATTCCTTTAAAATAATCTATCAATTCTATCTAAATAGTAATAAATAAAAATATATTGAAAGATAAATTTATAAATGAATATATATCTTTAGTGATAAGAAATCTTCTTATTATTATATTCATTTTTATCAATATAAAAGAAAAAAATAAAACAGAAATATACGATATTTGTGTAATTTATATTAAAAAAATTTATTATAATTATAAATCTATTATCATAATAAAATTATATAAGTTTTCTAGTAATAAATAGTTTAGAACAACCTTTGACCTAATGCAACTGAAGAGTCATTGTGATTATCATAATACAAGAACAAGTTTTATAACGTTTGTCATCAAAATAATTTCACTGATCAACCAATAAAACAAAGAAAGAAAAGGATAACAAATTATCTAATAATAAAATAAAAATTTTTCAAACAAATTATCATGAAATAATTGTAACGTTAAATTGAAATATACGTAATTACATACATTTAGATATATATCGATAACATTAATATTTTCATATAAATTTAATATTAATCATTAACAAAAAATAGGATATGTGTACATGAGAAACAAATGACTTTTCAAATTACCATTTCTCTTATGTAAAAGATAAAACTTTTCAATCAAAAATAGAATTGGCTTAAGATCCTTCCTGGTTTGTTATACGGAATAACACAGAAGAATAAGAATAAGAAGCAAGAAATATTACGAATATTCTTAAACCTTAAAGTTCGTATTAACTTTCTTTCGATCGTCAAAGCGTCGAAAATGGAGCCACATAAGTAGAATTTCAGATATTTTCACTAACTTATGGGACCTGAAGAAATCGCCACAGTCTTACTGCGGACATGTAAAACGGAATATTATTAGTTGATGCGTTCCTTTAAATCTATAGCGGCACTATCGTCCCACCCTTTATAAGCGGCTTCATTATAAAAGCAGGACGATTTTCAAATAAAAACAAACTTTTGACCTGTCAAGTCGCACGCCCGACTTTTACACACACAAATGCACGCATGCACACGTTCTCTCTCTTTCTGCTCCCTTTTCCATTTTCTCTTTTACTCTCTTTCTTTCTCCCTCTCTCTCTCCCTCTCTCTCTCCCTCTCACCATTTCATTCTCTTCCAATTTTGAACGAGTACGATTTAAAAATTAAAAATCTATCGATGACACTAACTCACCTTCTCTTATTTTACGATGCACACTTTACGCGGTTGTAGCATGTTATCATTTTCAATTTGACATAACGTGTCACAGAACGAGAAATATCGATAATGATACAGTTTAATTTTATAATCGCGAGTAATTTTTTGCGTGTTTTTTTCCTTGTTGGTGTTGTTCTATTTATCTCTTTTTCCCTGTCCCTGTCTTTTTATCTTCTTCTCACTGAATTAATAATCAAAGAATCGTACTCATATACGTGATAACTTTCCACGGGTGTGTCATTGTAACGATTCGTCACTTCTTCTTTTTCTTTTTCTTTTTCTTCACATACAACGACGTTAACGATATCGTCGAGAGCTTTTCAACGAGTTGTTCGATCGTGTATGATATCGACGCTACTAAACTCATTCAGTATCTTTCGACTGCACGAAGTAACGCGTTGTACACGATTGCATATGCATTTGTATGCGCGTGTGTGTGTGTGTACGTAAGTACTTACGTACACAACCACCATCTCCATCAGCACATAGATACAAGTTACATTGGACATGTAGTATGTCAGGTTCGTCGAAAGTGTCTCATTCCATGGTGTAATACGTCGAACCACAGAATGACAAGTGCTGGGAATAAAAGAGGATGAGAGATTTCCTACGTAGGGTCGACGCGTCGATGAATCTCTTGAGTTCTAGGGATAATGGCTGCTGTTACTAGGGACACACTAACAATAAGTTATGCGTTTACCGCAGAATACATCAGTGTTGTATGTATTCATCCCATCGTTCTTCTATTATTTACAAACATTGCTTGAAATTGTAGAATTTTCTCTGCTTTCTTTTCCTATTTTAATTTTATTAAAATACATAACGCGCGTTCATTAAGGTTAGAACATATACAATATTTGGCTGTCATACGAAGAGGTCATGTTATTTAAATATTAAAATTTCTATTATTTTAAGAACAGAAAGTTTTGTATTGTTAAAAATACTCTTTATAAAAACTTATTACAAAAAGGATTATTCCTTAAGAGATAATGGTTCACTATCTAAAGTTATTATTCATATTTATAAGATTAGAATTATTGAAAAATCAAATGTTATATATGTAAGATTAGTAAATAAGAATAAAATATAAGTTAAATGATAGTTTTATAAATATGAGAATAAAATTTCTTTGCATGTTCGTTAATAATTGATACAATATTTAATCACACTGTCTCTTATGACATACAGCTTATTGAAACAGCAATGTTTCGTTTTCCAAGATATACTATTCCATGGAAGGCGTATCGTATAATTAACGTAATAATTACGGCACTGTCCTTGTACACTATGTGAACTTCATCAATCTTCGAGGACAAATTTCATGTTCTGTTTTTTCTCTCTTTATCTTTTAGATGTCCATGCGCGATACTTTTTTCTACAAGTAGCTGTTTTTATCGTGTCAGGTAACATTCCTTGCACATAATTATATTATATTATAAGAAGGTAAAACGCAACTATTTACGTAACATAAATAAATACGTGTTTTGAAATATATCGTTCGTCATACTCTCAACTCAATTTTTTCAATTTTTCTGACAACAAATTGCCAAACGAATTTCTATATTGTAAACTAATTGAATTCAACAAACTGTAAAATGTTTCAAAATATTCATTTCCCTTGCTTGTAGAGTCGTCGTATTTGTTTCCAACGATAGTGAAACCTGCACTGGATAATTCAATGCAAAACGTTATGTTTTCCAGCGTTGTTAAATTTAGATAGATAACTTGATTAGTGTTGCACAATCTGTCAGATATTTTTACGTCAATCACGTGATCCTTGATATCGTTAATGACAGCTTGTGCTTCCAATTTCCATTGTTCTTCGTCCAATAATTTATCCTCGTCATTCTTCATATTTATTGTTTTTCAAAACTTGATTGGTTCATTTATTTATATATCTTAATATTCGTCGGTAAGAATTTTCAACTTTTATTAACAAATTTACCAGTGTCACAATTCAATTTTTGGCAACGAGGGAAGGAAGATAGTTTAGTGCCAAAATTGTGTTTTTATCACACGATGCAACACGTGCATAGGTTAAATTCAGGGTCAAAGACCACGATCGACTAACGCATAAGTTTAGATTTGTCCTATTATTTTCTTTGAAAAGGTGGCTACAGTGCCATAATTTGTGCTCTTAAAAATCTGGTGAAATTTTTGACTGTTATCACTATCCTTGACATTGCAAATATTTTATATAGAATATCGTAATAATGATTTGAATATTACATACCTTTTTATATGCGTATATATGTGTGTACTACTAAACTACTAATCTATATACATTTCTATACGTGATGTCTTCTTTTATCATATATCGTGTAGCCATGGTTACTATACGTCGAATATTATGACGTAAATACATCATATATATACGTGTACATATATGCATAAGCAATGTAAATTATCTGCTAATCGAACTTAAGTCAGACTATCTTTATAAATTTAATGTAACGAGCGATAACAGGATTTAATAAAATATTTTTTTATTTAGGATGACGTCGTTTAAAGAAGAAGTTTAAAACACTTCAAATAAAATCGATTTTTTGCAAAGTTATAATACTTTTTTAACAATAATTCTCGAAATACAAACGTATAAGAGATACTTCAGAATGAAAAATAAATATACGATGTTTTATTAATTTGAACGCGTAATTATTTCAATAGTATGGTTGTATGTAATAATTGTAATCTAGCTGACAAAGATCTGCGATCAAAGTCCGATTATATAACGCACGTTTTTTCAATTGTTCAAACTAGTTTAATCCTTTTTTTCTTGGTCGTTTCTATATCTTTCGATATTGCTGTATTTGAATATACCGCCGAATAATTAATCGAAGAAGCACATTAATCGAACACACCCTCGATTTTGTAGTACATCAGTGACGTCCTCATTTGTCGCCCTTGTTAGTTCGTATATATGCCACGTTGAAGAGTAGGTCGCTTCGATCGCTTACTCTGCCACGTAATGTTGTGTGTGCCGTTTATTAGTTATACTTGTGAAAAGATTTACGTAAAATTAATCGTCAATGTTTTCGATGTGCAAGCGTGTATCGGAGAAAATATAAGATCAGTCGATCTTTTTTGTGAGAAGCTCACCAAGGAGGTAAGCCAGAAAATTGTCGATCAGAATGGGTAATAAATCGAAGGTTGTCCGTCAGACACCTAAATTCGTTTTTTACTAGATGACGTTTAACCTTTCAAGCGCGTGCTCCAAAGCTTATCTGCCAATTTGTCTTTGTCTCAACTAATAAAATCATAATTATACAGAGAATTTTTTCGAAGTCAAATGTTAAAGATTCACGTAGGAATGATTAATCCATTTCGTGGACATTTTTAATTTCGAACTGTCATAATTATTGTAAGGTCAGCTGATGACATGGTGCTTTGATGACCCCCGAACATTATTTTGCTTTTATTTTGTTAAGTCTCGATTCCGTTGCTAAATATGACGATATTTTTGATTACATTTTTTTTTTTATTTCAAACACGTCGATAATAATTATCTTTTATCTTCCCCCTTTTTTTTTATTGCTCGATCAAAAGACGTTCGATTTACTATTTTTTTTTAGATAATTGAGTTTCATTATATTTTTTAAACTTTAATCGTTTCTTTTTACAATTATGAAGTATAATTATATAAAGAGAGTAGTTCACATTTAACATATATCTTTATATAAATATGTATTTTTAGTTTTAAACGATGTTTTATTTATTGTGATTGTGATAAAATATCTTTCTTGTAATTTTTTAATGATAATAATTGTATTAATGAAAATATATTGTATTAATTAAAAAAAAATATATGAGACTCCTTCTCTACAACAAATAATTTACTTTTCTTTTCATTTTTTTATATAACGATTTAGTAGTGTGTAAAGTCTGTAATGGTGTAAACGAAAGGTGTATTGTTATTTCCTTTACTTAATGTAAAACACCCTATTGCACTTTCTTCCCCTTGTTTCAGTGATTTATAAAGAAAAAACATGTCTCACCCAGATGGTTATCAGTATCAATCGTACATAGATCCTAATAATTCCTTAAAAAGTGAACGTGTACCCATAGTAAATGGTCAATCTACTGTTAATCAGCATATACAAAACGGCATGCAATCACCACATTCTAATCTCACTGGTATGCATATGGCAACCATAAATATGAAGCTTATGTGTTTTTAGAAAGAATCGTTAGTAGTTTATTTGCATATTATTTAATAATTTTTAGGTACACCGTCATCGCAATCATCTCGTGATCCATCAAGAGAAACATCGAGAGATCCATCTCCAACTCAATATCTACACAATCAGTATAGACCACAATTACCAAGACCTCCTATGCCACCAATTAATGGACAACAAAATATGCATCTGAATGTTAGGCCTCCTTTACCAAATGTCACGCAAACACAACAATATAATCCTACCACAACTCTTTACTCTTCTAACCAATTCAATTCTAGTGCCACAAATATTCCTCCCCCGAATAATGCAGGCAATGTTTCTTCTGCGTTTGTTAGTTTGTCTTCAAATGTACAAGAAAGTCAAGATATTAATTCACATAGTATGCCTTCTATACCACAAGTTTCACCAACAAGTTCAAGTCACAATACATTATCCGAATCCGATGCTAAAAGAGGAATTGCTAATTTTCCTTCCACTGAATTTACTATGACCGAAAGTACTAGGTCTAATAAACTATATCAAAGGACACCTACTTCACAGTCTGCAGGCCTATCAAATGACGCAACCAATGTACCTACAATATCTGACAATTTTGATAATGTAAATCAAAAGCCTTCTATTATGCTAAATCCATCTGGAAATTCTCTGGGACAATCTAGTATGAACGTATCACAGTTTAATCAGAGTAGTCGAAATGAATCTTTGAATGCACCTATAACTACTCAAAATCAAGCTGTTATGCCACCGCCTCTGAATTCTAGCTATGCTTCTCAGATGATTACAACTACTCAAAATCAAGCCGTTATGCCACCACCTCCAAATTCTAGCCATTCTCCTCAGATGATTAATCAATCTAATCCTAACTCAGCAGTTTTGAGAAATATATCTCAAAATGTTAACTCCGAAGGACAACCTGTAAATTTTGCATCGGCTCAAAATTTGCAGGGTTATTTGTCTCAGCCTAAATATGGAAGTCAGCAGAATATTTTCAACAGTCCGCAGAATGTACAAGGCAATACACAAAATGTGCCATTATATGCGTATAGTTCTAATTCTAATACGCAAAACTTATTTGCTAAACCACAACAAACTCAACATGTTCTTCAAAGTCCAAATATGTCTGCATCAAGAAACATTGCAGAAAATCAGGATAATTTGCCATCACAATCACGAGTGCAATCTCTACATTCATTACAGCCAACAGTACAAAATCAGACATTTGGCAGTCACACAGATTTATTTGGGCAGGGATCAAATTCTCAACAGAGTCATAGTATGTATGGTAGTCAACCAAATTTAACTGGCCAAAGAAATTATGCGCAAAATTATTATGGAACGCAAATGTCATCAAGCACTGCCAATCTTTCAAGCACTATAATGACACCTCCAAGATTTAGTGCACCTTCTAATAATCCTAGTCTTTCTTCTATGAGGCAGCCAATGACTATGCCACCCCCTACAGGACAGCAATTGGTATGTACTATAATATTTAATTTGTTTATAAATTACACTTTTTTTAAATTATTTTTATACTATTACATTTTGTATTTATTAACAGGGTACATATGATAAGCAACCACCATATCCAGGACAATTATCGAATATTCCTTTAGATCCTATATCTGCAAGATATCCTGGATCATATCCTGATCAAATGAATCAACTAAATAGACAAATGAATACAATGTCAGTTACACAGGCTGGTTATAATAAAATATGGGTAAGTTAGCTAGAATTCCGACACTTTTGCTTCATAAGAGACTGTCAACTGTAATAATTTCATTTTTTAGGGCATGGAATCCGTTGATTTATTACAATGTAGAAATATTTTACCTCCTGGGAAAATAGAGCCACCGAAAGTTAGATTGCATCAAGAATTTTTGAATGGTGTTAATTGCAATCCAGAGTGAGTGTATAAAACTTTAAAAATATATAATTGTTGATATTACATATCTATCGTTTTTATTACAGCATATTTCGATGTACTTTAACAAAGATTCCTGAGAATAATTCATTGCTGCAGAAAGCCAAGTTACCACTTGGAATTTTAATACATCCTTTCAAAGATTTAAACGTAAGTTATTTGATATACAATGATATTTTCATAACTTCAATGATATAATATGTAATAAAATTTCTTTTTTTTAGCAATTACCCGTAATTCAGTGTAGCACAATTGTACGTTGTCGTATTTGTAGAACATATATAAATCCATTTGTATACTTTGTTGATTCCAAGAGATGGAAATGTAATTTATGCTATAGAGTAAATGACCGTAAGTAATAAACGTTATTTACAGACAATATTTAAATATTAAAAGTTGATCTATTCTAATATTAAATATATTTTTGTTTAATTTATTATAATAACGTGTATAAAACAGTTCCAGGAGAGTTTCAATTTGATCCAATAACTCAATCTTATGGGGACCCATCCAGAAGGCCAGAAGTCAAAACAAGCACCATTGAATTTATTGCATCTAGTGAATATATGGTATTTTACAACTACTATTCATATTGTTAATAATATACTTACACTTTGATAGTATACTATTTTTTATTATACTTATCTTTATAAATCATCTCTTTAGATGAGAAGACTTATTTTCTGATTCATTTCCTGAATTTCAGGAAACAAGCTTTTTCGTCTGCTTGTTAATATTTTTCTTAATTTTTATTGTAGCTCCGTCCCCCACAGCCAGCAGTTTATCTTTTTATACTGGATGTTTCAAGACTTGCAGTAGAAAGTGGTTATCTCACTGTAGTATGCAATACAATAACTGATGAATTATTAAGATTACCAGGTGATGGAAGAACGCAAGTTGGATTTTTGGCAGTGGATTCAACAATACATTTTTTCAGTATGCCTGACAATGTATCACAGCCCCATGAAATGATTATGCTAGACGTGGACGGTAAGACATTTAAATAAGTTATACAAATATTTATCGAATGACCAAAATTGTGATCTAAAAATATACGATGATATATTTTCAGATGTTTTCCTTCCGTGTCCAGACAATTTAATAGTTAATCTTAAGGAACGGGAAGAATTAATAAAAGACTTATTAGCCCAATTACCTACTAAATTTCAGGGTACTCATGATACGAATAGTGCATTAGGGGCTGCTTTACAAGTAGCATACAAATTGATGGTACAATCTTATAATATATACCAGTAAAATGAATTATATTTCTTTACGACAGATTGTTTAATATTTGTTTTCTTATTATTATATTAGTTACCTACTGGAGGAAGAATGACTGTATTTCAAACATGTTTACCAAATATGGGACCCGGAGCGTTACAACCGAGAGAAGATCCAAATGGTAGAGCTAGTAAAGATGTACCTCATTTAAATCCAGCAACTGATTTTTATAAAAGATTAGCATTAGACTGCAGTGGACAACAAATTGCCGTTGATCTATTTTTATTAAATAGTCAATACAGCGATTTAGCGACGCTTTGTACGTATACCATTAAAAATACAATAAATTAATCTACTTTTATATTGATCATTAATAAAAAATATTTATATTTTTTAGCTGGTATGTGCAAATTTTCTGGTGGTTGTATATATCATTTACCACTGTTTCGTTCATCGAAGATACAACATGCGGAAACACTGGAGCGAATGTTACGACGTTATCTAACACGAAAAATAGGTTTTGAAGCTGTTATGAGAATACGTTGCACACGTGGCCTTAGTATTCACACCTTCCATGGCAATTTCTTTGTACGCTCTACTGATTTGTTAAGTTTGCCGAATGTTAATCCTGATGCTGGATTTGCAATGCAAATTTCGATCGAAGAGAGTCTCGCGGAAACACAAAATGTGTGTTTTCAAGCAGCACTGTTGTATACATCAAGTAAAGGTAAGAAAATGGATATTTGTATATTTTAAAAACTTGTCTACGTGTATAATTCATAAAATATTTTAGGTGAAAGAAGAATTCGAGTGCATACATTATGTTTACCAGTGGTTTCTAATTTAAACGATATCCTTCATTCGGCAGATCAACAATGTATAATAGGATTATTATCTAAAATGGGTATGGGGGAAACTATAATTATCATTATATGATAAATTTAATTGTAAGAAATATTATTTATTATATATATTTTTTATATAACAGCCGTAGATAGATCTCAACAGTCTTCATTATCAGATGCAAGGGATGCATTGATAAACGTAGCGATTGATTCTCTATCTGCTTACAAATTGTCCCAGTCTACTGGATCGGCTGGACTTTTGGCACCAGCCAGTCTCAAGTTATTACCTTTATACATTATTGCTTTGCTCAAATACGTAAGTAATTGTTATTTTAATTGAGATTATTTTTTTTTATATAGATCAGATATTAATTATTATTATTATTATTATAATTATTAAGGAATTTTGAATTTTGTTTGGACAGATTGCTTTTAGATCAGGCACAAGTACGCGATTGGACGATCGAGTATTTGCCATGTGCCAGTTAAAAACTTTACCACTTTTACAACTTATACAAATAATATATCCAGATCTTTATCCTATACACATGCTTGACGATAAAAATTCATTGGACATAGATGGAAAAATTTGCCCACAACCACCTAGATTACATTTATCTGCTGAGAAAATAGATTCAAGAGGTGCATTCCTCATGGATGCCGGAGATAAAATATTAATATACGTGGGGAAAAATGTACATCCAATGTTTTGTTGTAATGTACTTGGTGTTTCAGCATTTTCCGCTATACCAGAAGAATTTGTAAGTTTTTTTGTAATGAAATTGACTATTATATACAGATCTTAAAATTTTTTTTTTATATGTAATTTATAATTTATTTACAGTATGAATTACCGGAACTTGACACTGTAGAGAACGAGAGACTTCGCCATTTTATATTTAGTCTGCAAGAAGAGAAACCATATTATGCATCTGTGCAAATTATTCGGTAATGCATTTATTACTTTTTTCCATTTATCTAATAATATAATAATCTCGTTAATTTATTAATATATTTGTATTTAATTTTTAGAGATGACAGTCATTTCAGGACATTATTTGTGGAACAGTTAATTGAGGACAGATTCGAATCAGCCCTTAGTTATTATGAATTCTTGCAGCATTTAAAAACTCAAGTGAAGTAGTGGACAATTTGAATAATAAGTGAATATAAAAAAGTTATGTTAAATAATTTGAATTTCTTCATAAATGTATTATGAAAGAATCGCGAAAATATTGTTATTGACACAGTGAAAGTGCTAATCATAAGCGGCGAACTGTGCTCAGGAACAGGATGTGATCTCCCTATCAAGTATCACCTACATTTTTCATTCAGATAGCACGGTAACGCGTAAGTGTTCCAGTTTGCCGTTGCATAATAAACAGACGATAATTGTAAACGACATGTCATACAAAAAAGTAACCATAGCCTTCTTCAGAAAAAACACGTTGACGCATTTAAATGTAATAGATTGTAATTATTACTACTATCCATATTCTTACAATGTATCAATATCATAGATCCAAATATCATGTATGTCACGTAAATTTATGTTATATCGGATATCTAGTACGTCTTACGCATTGCTTTTTCCATTTTTATTTTCTCTTTCTCTCTCTCTCTCTTTTTCTTCATTCATACATAAGTATTTTAATACAATAACTAAACATTTTCTTTTGAATTTTGCAGATTGATTTTTTTTTGCTATATATATGCTTTAATGGAAGATCTTAATTCCATATTGTTGTTATTAATTTTTAAGGGACACTTCTTTCAGCCATGTGTTTTTATCTTATATGATTGGATTGTTAATTCATTATTTTGGCATGGCAGTTTATATGTATAGCAAATTAGGGAAATTTATGTATAAGTTTTACTATAATTCCATTAGGTTTATCTATTGAGACTTTTGTGAATTTATGGGTATTCGTATCTTATTATTTTAACCTTATGATTATAATGACATCTTAAAGTTATACATAACATTTTTCACATTATATACTCATTATTTGCATGAATCAATTAAAATGTTGATCAAAAAAAAAAAACGTAAAATTATTATAGAAAGAATTATGTTTTTTTAAAGATGTAATACGTTCATACGAAATTGTAAAATATTATTACAAGATAATCGTTATAAATGGTTAAATAATTAATACGAGTGTCTTGCATATGAAATGAAAATCAATGCAATTTAAAAAAAAAAAGTATAGGTTTATTATTAGGTGCTCAAATAGAATTATAAATAATATCTATGTAAAATATTGCAGGTAGTTGAAAATTCCATTGAACAACCAATTTATTCTAGCGCAGGCAATTTCAGATATATATAAAGAGCAATATTTGGGATATGATATTTATGACACTTCATTTCTCTCCTGTAATCGATGCTGCCAAATAAAAACTTTTCCATGTATACATAGAAGAAAAATTTCATTTTTTTCGGGAGAATTGTAGTGAAATAAATATCAATTGTTATATGCACTCCACGGAGGGCCAACTAAATGTCCCATGGTATGCTCAAAGTTCAATCGTTATAACTCGTGTAATGGCCTCAAACGACAATGGTTACGATAGCCTGACACTGACGACCATTCATTTTGTGTGTTATTCGATTTATCGATTATTATCGAATATTGATTATTATTAAGCTATGAAAAATTATATGTATATATATAAATATATATATAAATATAAATAACACATACGGGATGAATGATTATATGTATATAAAGTTTAATTTCACCTAAACCAATCATTTATATTCACATTTTATTTCCTTCAATTTATCTTGCTGATATTTTTTTAAACAAAAAGTTAACAAAATTAAAGAAATTTATATTCATAAACAGTACATTGTCATGTTTAATAATTTTCATATTCTTATAAATTACATTAATCGATAAATTTTAATTAATCAATATGTAAATATCTTATAATTTTATTTAGAAACCTGTTGTCTCTCTGTATGTTTATCTTTATACTTTTTTAATTTTGCCTCCAAGGAAATGCGTGCTACAACGCATTAAAACTTGCGCATAGGTGGCAGCATCGGTGACGTTAGTGCTACGGCGCGTACGCGGTTTGATTTTGTTATCAGTAGTGGTGCCGTAGTCGGTGAGAGGAGAGAAGTGATCGTTTTATTATAACAGTTATTCAACGGATCCGGTAAGTTTTGTTTTGACCACGAGTATTTAATATTTATATATATTATACTTTTTTTTAATATAATCATTTTTACAGGAAATGTTTCTAATTTTTTCATCGTTCCTGCATTTGATATCCTTTTTTTTTTCTCCATCCGAGAATGAATAATATTAGAACATTATTCGCATACCATACACACATAAATGTAATTTTTGTTGAATACATACGTGCTTTAGATAAAATTATTCACAGATAAATGAACATATCAATTTTTTGATAAAAGGAATAGCAATTAACGAAAGTTTACAATCATCACGTACATAAATGTACAAACGAATTTCTAAGTAATAAATTTAATTTTTTTCGTCGATCGATTTATACCTTAACGAGTATATTCTTTTTTTTTAATCTATGCATTTTTTTTTTTTTTTTTTTTTGTAAATTCTTTTTACATGATATACAAATACGCGCTTTCAAGTGTATATACATATATATATATACATATAAAGATGTAAAATATTCATGCAAGTAATTTGTTTACTTTATATCCGTTTTCGTGCGTTCCTTGCTTGCGTTTTATTGCACTTTTGCTGCTATATAAAGCGTACGAGAAATAAACGTTGGTGTATACATGTATGTGTGTATTTCTATGCGAGTATGTGTGTTTTGCATTTAGTTCATTCACCCGGTAATTAAAGGCAGCTACAGGGCGCAATATAATATATAATGACGGTTAATCAAAATGACGTGTAAGTTCTTCCGTAACACGATTAAGACAACTTGCGTTTCCGATACATAAATATTCGAGTAAATCATTCATTGATGACCCTAAGTCTCAAGATAATGCATACCATTTGGTACTGTAAACTAGTCTATTTATATTTTTTGATCATTTTTTTTTGTATTTAATAAATAAATATTTAATTAATTGTAAATAAATATATAAATATATAAATAACTATGAATGTAGTACACGAAAATATGTACCATAATCCGAATAATGATATAAGTTCTAATGCACACATACTGAATATTTATCACCTAAAAGTTACTTAACGGATACGATAGACATACATATATTATCGATGCAAGCTTTGCTGAAGTGGAAACTCCTATTGTTATCTTCGATTAATGGTTTAGGTACATATATATATATATATATATACCTCTATATATGTACTTAATAGAGTAGAATACATGTGGATTTCTTATAAAATACGATCTCTATAATACTCGTTGTGAAATGGGGAATCACCTATTTCGTACCCTCAATTAGAATTTGGTGCGTTCCCTTCTCAATTCTTTTTATTAAACTCCTTAATGACTTTCCCGCAGTTCTTCGTTTATTCTTCGTTCTTCTTATCCTACTTCATTTCATCTCTCCCTCTCTCTTATATATATATCTTTTATCCATCACTCACTCATTCTTCCTTTTTTTCCATTTCTATCATTCTCTCTTTATCTTTTTTTGTATTTCTCACCCCTTTCTCATTTTATCTTTCTCTTTCTTTATATATATCTATATATATATATATATATATATATTTTATCCATCATTCACTCATTCTCTTTCTCACTCTCTGACAAGCAATGAACACAGAAAGGAATTCTCAACTATGCTAATTAGGAACTAAAGTTTCTCGATTATAGTCGACAATATAAGTCTTACGAGTAGATTCTGTTTTAGTACTCGAGCGTATCATTAAGAAAATACGCGAACGTTTTGTACTTTACTATATATATATATATATAGACATACACACACACACACACACGTACACATTCAACTTAGAAGATGAAGAAAATCGGCGGAATTCCTAAACGCATTTTATCCGCAATTTGCGCGTGTCTCGCGATATCGACCGAATCGATTAGCGGAACAAAGAAATGTCCTGACCGAGGCTGCACGTAATATGTTCGTATGTATGTATGTGTGTTTATGATGTATGTGTACGTGGGTACATCAAATATATCGAACGGCCCTATTTTACGATAGTAACATGATCCTTTTGCTTGCTAAAAGAATCACCGATCGCATTGACGTATCCTTTTTTAAATTACCGTAAACACTCTACGCATGTTTTTTCTTTTCTTTTCTTTTTTTTTTTCCCATTTGTAGTCTAAAATATCAATTGCCTTTTTATTTTTTTTTATTTTTATCGTTATATATCCAAGTTTTTTAAGTTTATACGATCAAAAATTTTAACAGAATATAATAATAATTGTTTGTAAAATATACATCGTTAAGATACGACGTGTCAAACGATAAGCAACATTTTAATTAGTACTATTAATTAGTCAACTGATATTATCTATAAACTAAATAGAAGGGTTTGAGCGTGTGTGTGTGTGTGTGTGTATACGTGCGAGAGAGTCAAGGGCATACTTTAGTACGTTTAGTTCTTCGCCATTTCATCCACTTTTAACGAGGGTAGAAATAAAAGAAAATTACTCACATCAGTTGGTAAAGAAATCGATGAATTCTGATATCCTAGGCATTGTTTTTTTTTTTTATTTTCTCGTTCTTTGTCTTTTTTTTTTTCTTATTTTCTTCCTTAATTTTTCACGATCATTATCTTACGTTTAAAGATTTTTCCGTCATTAATAACTCGTTCGCAATGGCGCATCATTCCGTTTTGCATTATATCCAGCTCGCGAGGAGGATCCCTTTACTACTTTCTTCCCTTTCTTTTCGTTTTCTTTTTGTCTTCTTTTCTTTCTCGTGTAAAAGAATTTCATCTCGACTCCTTGAAAAATGAAGAACCCACTTTTAGAGTTCCCCCATTTTCTACACCAAACCCTACCAGACGATTTACTTTCTTTTTCTCTTTTTCCTTTTTCTAGTCTCTCGTTGGAAGAATAGACAAAATTTATTTAAACTTTGAATTTCCGAATGTTAGCCATTCTTTTCTTTTTTTTTTTTCTTTGTTTTTTTTAACTCCCTCTACTTTTCTCCTTTTGTTTTCCGGTCCTAGAGTCAGAATTTTTATTCTCGAATTAATCGAGTCGTGAAAAAGTGCATAAAATTTGGTCACATTAACGGCTGGTTACATGCAAATGAGATTTAACGATTTTAACGAATAGTTAAAGGGCAGCTGAGGTACTTATTAGATTTTTGTTCTCTTCTTCTTCTACTTTCTTTTCTTTTCTTTTCTTTTCTCTTTTTTTTCTATCTTCAAACCGTCAATCTAACAGTTCGTTTAAACTTTCTACGAACGTAAATGAATTTACGACGATGGTTGTGATCGATACGAAGACTCTTCTTTTCTATTGAAAGCTACATAAATGATTGATTCAGTTAGGCCGAATTCGCATCGTTTCCTTCGGATACTAATAATACATTTTTTATGAAGATAGATTTTTTAACATAGAGTACAAGTCCAATTCGTATATATATGTAGTAGTAATAGTAGAAAAATAGTAGCTTTTGATATAAACGTGTGGAAGTCTGGATGTTAGTTTCATCTCGAAATTTTCCATTTCTTAAATTACCTAATGCACTTGGGAATTCTTTAATAGGTGGATCGCAACCACTTAATGAGATACAATTTTAATGAACTTATTTACGATCGAGTTAAAAATTTAACTAATTATATGCACTAGAGTAGAAAATTGTAACCTTTTTTTTTTTTTAATCGAGTATTTGTTACTTACTTACCCCATTCCAACGTTCGTTGATATTTCAAAAACTTTTCGATCATATTTCAACTAGATAAATATAAAATTTGCAAACACTTTGCAAATGATTTTTGAATATAGGTACTTATATATTCATTCAGATATTGCTAGTAGGATAGGATAAATCCAATTTTCTAGGATATCAAGCTATATATAAAGAACCTATTTACATCGTCACAGAGTATTATAATATCGTTAGAATATATTGGCTATGTGTGGCCTTTCGAGCGAGCAATGCACATATGCTTTTAAAAATTTATGTTTACCATGTGTGTACGATATATATATATATATATATTGGTCATGTGACAGTAGATGATAAAAATTGTCTCTTTGTCGTAAAAGTTTAGCTGCGGTGGACGTTATTGTCATCGATTTAGCCTAAGGCATTTAATATCATCAGCTTTGTATATAATAATGTGTGTGTGCGCGGGTGTGTGGGATTTTTTTTGTTTTGTTTAGAATCCTGTCATTTCCTTCAATTAATGTTTTTCAATATCAGATAAAATTCAAGGAAAATTCATACGAATTTTCTCGGTTATATATTGTATCTATTAGCTTAGGTTTAATCTCTTTGATAATCCGAAGCTAAAATCTCACCTCTGAATAATCTGAGCATCACCATCCGCTCTGATTATTCGTTTGTCCTTACGCTTATGTATTTCAGTTCAAAAGCAAAGCGTATGGTTGTGTGTATTGCATTTATTTGTGTGCAAGCGTGCGTGCGTGTATCGTCTCTGCCGTAAGCAAGATTGTTTACTATCCAATACAAACACTTGAGAAACAAGCGAATATGCAAGGTGGCAAAGCGTTAAATACAATTAACACCTTACTGCTGCTGATGCTGATGCTGCTGCTGCTGCTGCTGTTTATTCCTTTCTCGAATATATTGTTAAAGCTGTCTTCTCAATTCTACCTATTCCAAATTGTCGACAAACGTTGCTGTTTTTAGTAACCAAAGCACTCTTAATTGTATTATACTATTGGAATTATATTTAATAGTTTATTCTAGTACACAAATCGTTGAAATAAAGAATAGAGTAAAATTTCCTAGATGATTTTACAAATAAATGATTTGTTTTTGAGATTCGTAATTTTATGACAAAATGTTTTGCGGATTATTCGTAAACCAAGTTATTTGCAATCCAAGGTTTTTACTGTATTCGTATTAATTCATTTTAAAATTTAGAAGAAAGAAATAATTTGACAACTTAAAAAAAAATACAATAATTGATTTGGTCCACCCTGTATAAATAATATGTTTAAAAGTATTTATTGGTTATATAATCTACCACACGTATATACATGTGTGTTTGGCTAGCAGTGCAAATTGTTACACCAAC